AACTTCATTCCTAGAGTGCTAGATTTGCAAAAGTTTGCAAGAAACAAGTGTGAATCGTTAATTTTTTTAAAGAATTTTCAAATTTTGAAAAAACATGACAAAAATAGGTAATTTTTTTTTCAATTTTTTATAATATCTTGTGATTTTTTTCGTGCATGTTTAGATTTATATTGATCTACATTTCTTACATTCAAAATCACAATTTTTTTTTTGTGTTATCAGTAGATTTATGAAAATTTCATGAAGATATTTGGGGAAAATATAAATTAACAAAATTTTGAATACGTAATTTTTTCTCTGCCTATAAAGACAAAATATGTTTTAGATCTATGGACTTATCTATCATATTCAAAGAGCAATTGGAATTTCTTCTTTAATATATATCTTTTATTTTTTATATTTTTAGAATTAAAAAATAAATAAAAATTAATTATATTTTATAATTTGAACACAACAATTGAATATATTATAATTCTTGGATGATTAATATCCAAAGACCAATTGAAATTTCTTCTTTAATAATTATTTTTTATTTTTATATTTTTAGAATTAAAAAAATAATTAATTAATTATATTTTATTATTTGATCAAAATAATTTTATATATTGAAATTCTATGGATGATTTATCATATTCACAAATAAATTGAAATTTCTTCTTTAATAACTATTTTTTGAATATATTATATAATATTTATTTATTTTTTATAATTTTTGGAAATGAATAATCAATAATAATTATTTAAATAATAAATAATTGCTAATTATATTTGCACATAGAAGTTGTGTCAATGCATGTTTTATGGTTGTATAGGAGAATTGGGTTTTTCCCATCCCATAAAACATTAATACTTTAGAATTATAATTTATAAATTACAGTTAAGCATAAGATTTTTAACGAAATTATAATTAGCTACAATATATTTCTTCATAAACTATTAAAATATATTAATTTAATATATATACACCTCATTGAGGTCTTATATTTAGTGTTGTTGATGTATTTTTATGATTAATTAAAGTACTTATAGTGTTTCCAAGTGTATCTATGCGTATCTTATTAGTTTTTCTCATGTGTATCCAATGTGTATTCCAATACGTCTCTTAAAATTATCTTTCTGATACATATGACGTTTCCGCTACTTTCAACCTTGTATGAAATTTGTAAAACTGAAGATATATGCCCCAACTTGCAACCCATCATCACGTCAAATCCTTTTCTTTTCCGTAGCCTAGGACTTAAGATTAGTTTTTTGGGGCATAAGAGAGTATATTAATGAGTTGGTTCATGAATGGATATACCACTCACGTCTGCAATTTCCCATGACCGATCAAGTATGTAATTTAACTCTGGAAGACAATTTAGAGTGTCAAATTTTAATAACGTGATAGATAGAGAAATTACACGGTCTCTACTAATTTTATAAATATCTAACAGAAACTTATGTAAAATTAGTAATAAGATGGAGATTTTTCTAACAAAATAAAACAATACATTCGGCTTGCGAAGAACAAAGACTTATTTACAGCTTATCTAATAAAGCTTTTCCAATAAGGAATGTAAAGGGGTTTATTAGTTTTTGGCCCATCAAATGCTAAGGATACATCAATTTTCTTTTCCTAAATCCTTACAAATACATCATACACCAGCTGGGTATCTTGTGTGAGATGATCCACTTGGATTAACAGATGGAAATTCACTTGAAATTACATAAAGTATCTCAAATAGAGAGTTCATTGTGGTCCAGATTTGTTGGGGCCTGGCCAGGAAATCAACACATTAATTTCTAGGCTTGACCTTAGCCCTAAAGAACTTAGAGTCCAGGCCATAATCTGACAGACAGGGCTAGAATTGCCACACCTATTTCAATAGTCTTGAATCCATGTCTAGAGAAAGCTAAATCAAATACCCAAGAAAAAGAAAATTTGTATCTGTTAGCAGAACACAGCATCACTTGATCTCTGTGGTCTGAGATACTGACCTGAACAACAATATATGATCAGACTTATCCATGCTCATTGATGATTTATCTAGAGTCTACATCATTCAATTGGTGGTGCATCACTAGTATGCCCTATATATATATAATACAAAATTAGTACAATTTGATTTATCTTTAACTATTCAACCTATGTACACTTGTGTTTTTTCCTCTAATTTTTTCCTGCATCAGAGCTCATGGAGTATTGTTTCTTATAGGTGTCCGAGATGGATAATCCGAGAGTCCAGAAGGGATAGTGCATTGACTGTTTGTCAAGCTGTCTGTGGGCCTGGCGAAAAATACAGTACGTTTAGTACATAATAAACAATTAACTGAAATACTCTACTCTTGAATTTGCTCTTCTTCCCAGAGATTAGAAGAGAAAAGAACAAAGTTTCCTAATTATAAACAACAGCTCTATCGTTTACAGTTTGCATCAGCTTCAGCTATGGCGATAACACTCTCCCAAATAATTATTAGAAAGTTTAAAAAGAAAAATCCAGCGATGCCAGAAGACAGACAATATCACTGCCAGAAGAATGGTGGGCCGGGGGCATCTGAACTGTATGGTCCCGTGACCGACTTCTGGCCCATCTGAAGTTGTGCACCAAATTAAGCCATCGCTAGCTTATAAAGACACTTCGACACTTCTACTTAAACAATTCACAATGCGTACTAGAAAGCTGTAGTTTGGAATGAATGGTTCTCGGGCTTATACATGCTTTAAAAGGATTTTCTTTGGTTTTGAATGTTTAATATCTCGAGCTTATGGGTACTTAAATTATTGCTAATTGTTTAGTTTAATAACCCTATACCAGTCAAGATGTAGCCTATAGCCTGCAGCCTGCGTACTCAGTCGATTCTCCTCGTTTAAAGATATGACACAGTGGAATCTTCTAATTGCTATATTAACAACTCTAGATAGATGGGGCTTTAATTGGGGAGGAACTTGTTAGAACTAAGGGAGATAGAGACCAAGAGATACTCCAACAGGTGTTTAGTGATGAACTTTTAGTGTTTGGTTTGAGCTAGATTAGCATCTTTTCTTCCATAAGTTATATAGGTTTAAAGACAAGACACATTGGAATCTTCTAATTGCCATCTTAGCAACCCCCCGAATGGGGCTTAGAGGGATTTGTTAGAACAAAAGAGATAGAGACTAGGAGATAGTCCAACAGGTGTTTGATGAAGAACTTTTTGTTCTTGGTTTGAGTTTGATTGGCATCTTACTACATAGAATCCTTTCACTCCCCAACCTTTATTTTTCTCCATAAACTATTATGTAGCCTTGTAGGTTTAAAGACAAGATACACTAGAATCTTCTAATTGCTATATTAAGAACCCCAATGGGGCTTAGAGGGGGACTTGTTAAAGCTAAGGAAATAGAGACTAAGAGATACTTCAACAGGAGTTCACATCTGCACCCCACAGTACATCCCGACCATGTATTGGGAATATTTCCTGATGATAAGTACAGGAGATGATGAGACATCATGGGAAGATATTTCTAATACAAGGCCGGGATGTGCATTGTGGGGCGCAGATGTGAACTCCTTCAACAGGTGTTTAACATCTTTCTTTTACTTCCATGAGATATGTAGGTTTAAAGGTAAGATACAGTTGAATCTTCTAATTGCTAATATTAGCATCCCCAAATAGGGATTGGGAGGGGGGGGGGGACTTGTGAAAAAGAGATTGAGACCAAGAGATACTTCAATGGTGTTCAGTGCTTGATTTAAACTAGATGGGCTTCTTGCAGCATAGATTTTGGAATCTTTTCATCCCCCACGGTACCACCCCTTACTTCCATAAGTTATGATAGGTTTAAATCAAACTGCATAACCAAACATCCCCTAATGAGCAAAAGTCCAGACACATGTATCTGGATGTACAATCTATTATATTTAATTCATTCAAGCAACCCGAGTTGGCAGCAAATTGTTGTTTTGTTTGTTTGCTTTACTCCATATTTTTGCTGTTGAAGAGGGGAGGGGATATGGATATATTGATCACTGATCAGCTTGTCTTCTAACGATGCGTTTTGGTTGTTTTCACTTTTCAAACATTGTAAATTTTGTATTTTTATTTCCCCAAAGGCCCATACAATAAGAGCTTTGTATGAAAAGGAAATTAGGGGACATGATTCCTTATTGTACTTAAATGACTTTAGTTGGATTCTCATCAGATTTATTGTCTTATGTTATAACACCGTGATTGTCCCCCTCCAAGATGTCTCGAAAGCATTCTTTGGATTTCAAATTTAACTTTCAGATGGCTTTGCTGGGAAAAGTTGCCAAGTGATTTTTAGACATCTAGAGAATCTCATTGATAGAACCTAGCTAGCTAGCATAGCTGCAGCCCAGGATGGGCTCCACATGTTTGCCACGTCAGGACTTCCCTCAATATGCTAAAAGCTCTTGTCAAGTAGACACGTGCCATAAGAAAAGACTTCTCTTTCTGATACCCATTTCTTAATTTTTTTTATCCAATTGAAAATTTTGAATTAGCTTCACAGTATTGGATACAGAGAAAGAAGTCCCACACAGGAATAGTACAAAACTGGCATGCATTTGATACAGATTCAAGTACAATACAAAGGATTGCCTGGCTATCTGATGAACCATCAGGAGTTCGGGACCAATTATATTCACCCTCCACGTGGCTTCAACTTGAGTTTATCTATAGAACAGAAATTTGGATAACATTGTCTAGAAAATCTTCTCACTTGTTGAAATTATCTGTCCTTCTTTTTCCTCTTCCCAATTTGTTGAAATGATCTTAAAAAAAGTAACAACAGAGGGAGATTGGCCAAAGATATAAAGGGCTCAGGTGTGAAATCTGGGCCCCAGTTAGCTAATCCAGCGGTGGGGTTTCAACATTGGAGATCCCAAGATCATTCTACTAATGTTTTATAATTAAGTAAATTCATAGTTCTGCGTGATTTCGATACCCCTGTTTATTATATATTTTCTTTCCTTTCTTTCGTTGTAGTAAATTATAATAAAATAAATTGTCAAGAAGGCCCCGCTCTATGTCGCGCTCACATGGGCAATTTATATAGCAGCCTCGACCAAGCTTCCTTACTCTCAACGCTTGAAGAGGAAGAGGCCTCAAACCAGACTACCTTTCCTTCTCAACTACTTCTCCTCTCTCTCTCTCTCTCTCTCTCTGTGTTTCAATTTCCAGGTTCTACAATGTCCTCAACCAAGAAGAAGCTCAATAAGAACACAGTTGCAGTCAACGTAAGCTGTGGCTGCAGAAGGCCAAAGCTGTCCGGTGTATTCAGCCCAAAAACAAAGAGCAAGCCATCAACTTATCATCAGAAAGCTGGTGTCTATGGCTCTTCTTCAAGCTCCTGGGAAAGAGGTGGCTTCTCAGTCGACGACGAAGACGACACAACGACTACACAGTCTCCGAACATGGACACGTCCCCCAACCAATCTGAAGCTGAAGCTGAATACGATCTAAGGAGCACAACCATGGCTAATGGTTTTGGAAGAATTGGCGAGAGTGTGGCCGTGGTCAAGGATTCCGACGACCCATATCTGGATTTCCGGCGTTCGATGCTTCAAATGATCATGGAGAAGGAAATTTACTCTCAAGAGGAGCTCCGGGACCTCCTCGACTGCTTCCTACAGCTGAATTCTCCATACCACCATGAGATTATCGTCCGAGCCTTCACAGAGATCTGGAACGGGTTCCTCGCTGCTCAGGCATAGTGAAGCCGACCAGCTGGTCGGCGTACGTCACGTGAGTTTAGATTAGTTCGTGGGAAGGTCACGTGAGGAAGATGGGTGCAATCGTAGATGATGTAAGTGGGCACGGTGGGAAAAGCTAGACGTTGGAATTTGAATATAATAATGATGATGATGCAGTAGCTGTCGAATGGGTAGGGTCATGGGGTTTAATGAGTTTTAATGAGAACAGTAATAGTTCTCTTTTCTTTTCTTTTTTCCCAACTTTCTGTATATTTACTGCTTTCTATGTATTACAGCCATGGCTCCTAATGAGATCTATGATCATAGTAGGCCACGTTTTCTCCCAATGTCTTCATTTCTCTCTCTCTGCTGGATTGTTAAAATTTAACATGGATTGGTAATAAAATCTCTGTTTTAGTCTTGTGAGTTAGCAAATGATGTACATGGGTCTCTCTCTGTCTGTGTATCTGTCTCTGTTTGCTGGGTTGTCAAAATTTAACATAGATTCATAATAAAAGCTTTGTTTTAGTCTTGAGAATTATATAGCAAATGAACATGGGTTTCTCTCTCAGTCTGTGTATCTGTCTCTGTTTGCTGGGTTGTCAAAATTTTACGCGGATTGATAATAAAAGCTTTGTCTGTAAATTAGCAAACGAACATGCATGGGTTGCAGCAGAAATTAATTTAAGGAACTCCACTCGACATTGATGGTTGTGTTGTGTAATTAAGCCGCTGGGAATTAAAAAATTAGCCGCAAATATGAGAGCTTCCTTTGGGATGATGTAGAGAATAATCCAGAATATTCCACCGGTAAGTGATGCATCTCTGATTTGCGTAGGTGGGTTTTTGCTTAAGGTCTACGTGTCAACTGTCAACAACAGTAACAACAACAATAGGACGGACACTAGAACAGTGCCATTGATGAAATGTTCGAGGCCTCGAGGGTTTGAAGTAGAAAAGAAACAACCCATCTCTAACTATGGGGGATTGATTGTTACTTCAAACTATTTGGGCCACAAGAATTAGGTTTTGCCTCCACCTGAAATAGCTTGGGGGAGTCCAAGCAACCATTTATTTGTGTTCTTTCCTTTTGCTTTTCTTAAGTGAATTGGGTTTTATGAATACAGGGACCAAAGTGGTCATTTTCAGGGGGACAAGATTTAGCTAATGTCACCTCAAGATGAGGCTAGGACTTAGGACAGAGAACTGTGGGACAAGAAATTTTAATAAATCCAAAACATTATTAGGTCTTTCTTTGGTGTCTCTCTCGGTCAGTTGAACTTTATTACATATTTTGATAATTTTACTTTTTGTTTATTTTATTTTTCTACTTTTTTGACAAATATGATTTAAGAAAGTGTACTAGCATATTGAAGTTTGAAGTAAATGAAAACTGCTTTAGGGGTTGGTCAATTCCAAGGATACCACCAAGCAATATTCATGATTTGATAATGCATAGAAGTATGAGCCTTGGTTATTAACCAAGAAAACCAAAATCATTCTTCTGGTAAAGATCTACAACAGAATACAGCTCAACTACCTGTAAACTGATCCGTACTTCACAAGTAAGAATAATTCCCTAATTTATTTTCTTTGCTCTCATGTTACTTCTTACTTTTATTGGCAAAGGTTTCTGTCATCTGTTATATTTTACCAGACTACTAGCAATCTTGTCGATTTGCAGATATGTTCGTTGAGCCTTTCTTTGCAATTCAGTCATGAATGTATCATTTTATGGATTCTGCCGAGTTTTCAAGTATCCCAAGGTCCCCCTTTCTTTTTAAATTTTACATTTGCCAGCTATCTTGGCTAGTGAGCGTAACACTTTACTCTTTACTGTGTCCACGAGATTTGATATTATCATCTAATATAATATAATTTAAAGATTTAAAAGGTTAGATTAATTGATCAAATAGACAGTTTCGATACAATAACCAAGCCTGTTTGAGGGATCATATGGTAGAGCCAGATCATCTGTTGGAAAGGGGACCTATTGCATTGGTCAGAGGTTCAATCCCACCAGCAGGAATCGCCATGAGATTAGGAATGATCGTAAAAGTGAGACCGTTATGTATGAGATGTGTGGTGTTGGATCATATTGGAATGGTATTAGAATATATTTTGTTGGCAAGTGATTCAGACTCCAATCTCATAATCCATAGCAAGGATTTGCATAGAAATGTAGCAAATTGGTTTCGGATAGGGGTGTTTTTGAAAAACCGAATCAAAACTAATAATCCAAACCAAAATACATACACACAAATATAACATACACACACATGCACATATATATAAACAACTGAATTGGCGATTGGTTAACTGGTTGATTCGATTTGGTTTTGGTTCAAAATTTTTAAAAACCAATAGCTTCGGTTCAGTTTTATAAATGCACCTACAATTTGGTTAACCAAACCGTGAACATTCTAGTTTAGAGATACAACTTGGGTTGGGTTGGGTTGGGGATTTCTTAAATTTTCAATGGGCCTAACCTAACCTGAGCCCGGTGTAGATGAAATTCTTCAAATCAGGAAATCCCACTTGCAGCCCCAGGTTTGCAGATCAAAATGGGAAGAAGGAACCTCTATTTTAGGAAGATTTACTATTAGAATATTAAATTTTCAATAGTTAATATTACTTGTGGAAAGATAGATCACACGATGAATGTCCAATACAAAGGTATCTCTCCTTCTTGATGGATGGGTTAACTGGCCACATCAGCCTACTGCATGGTAGAAATATGGCAAGTCATAGGGAGAGTTCTTTATGTGGCTGGAATGTAGGAAAAAATTTCCAAAACAGGTCAAGCGAGGAGCCTTTTTATGACCTACTTCATTTTAGCCATGTGGACAAATTTTGTAGCAAATTCAAATTGTTTTTACCCTTTGGATTGACAATATATTGAATATTGTGGTCAACATGAGACCTATTTTGATATTATATTGGAGTTTTTTATTTGATAACTAGCGACTATCGGGGCCTTGTGTGATGCACAAAAAAATAAAAATCAAAAGTTGATTAATTTTATAAATTGATAATCTACAAGATTTTAGGAGAGTTCTTTTTTTTTTCTTTTTATTTTACAGAGTTCAAAGTACAAGAAAGGCTTAAAAATTGTCCTCCAAACCTAGGGTGTCAATGGGTCGGATCTACTTAATGGATCAAAAACCGACCAAACCGATTATAATGGTTCTAGTTCCATGATTTTGTCCCGATTAATAATTGGGTCAGGTCTAGTTCTTGCCTATAGCAGACTGATTCAGACTCAGAACTGATTATTGTACTATGCGTGCATACATACATCTATCTATCTATCTATCTATCTATCTATCTATTTATCTATCTATCTATATATCTATCTATAATTTTTAATTTTCTTGTAATTTTTATTATATTTTATGTTTAAAATGGTAAATTTTATTGATAATAAATAAGATAATATTAGTTAAAAATGTTTAATTTATTAAAATATAAATAATTTAGTTTTTTTAACATTTTTTTAATTTTATATTATAAAAAAATAAATTTTGAATTATTATTTAAACAAACAAATATAGTTTCAATATAATCGTGTTTATTGGGTTTGGATTTGATAGACCTAGCTATTAACTAAGACAGTTCTGGTTTGTGATTTTGTCCCGATTAAAAATCAGTTTGGGATTAGTTCTACTTAGGCCTGACCTATTGACAGCCCTACCCAAACTCATAAAGCCCCCAACCTTAGTACTGCAGGTGGGATTCAATTCTAATTCTTAGATACAATTAATAGGACACCTTACCAACCAACTAGCTGATAATTTGCAGGGGATATTTAAAACTAAATTAATGAAGATTTTTTATTTATTGTTGTTTGCATAACAGGAAAATAAAAAAGTAGAAGGAAAAAGTTGAGTATCTTAAAAATCCTTGGTACAAATATTGTTAAGAATAAATTACTTTTCAAGGATTTATGAATAAATTTCCGAATTGATATGAATAAATTAATTTTCAAAAAATTTTAAATTTATGAATAATTAATTACTGAGAATATTAATTTTTTTAGTAAATTAAATTTTTTAGAATTAACATTTATTGAATTAAATTACCAAAACATGAAAATTAGTTTATGGAAATCACTAAATTAAAATTTCCCAATAAATACCAAAACCCAATATAAATTACCAATAATTATGGAAATTATTAATAGTTACCAAATGTAAATTATCAGTATTAAAGTTCCCAGATAGTTTTCCAATTTAATAATTACCAATAATCAATTATGGAAATTATTAAAATTACCAATAATTATGGAAATGATTAATAATTACCAAATGCAAATTATCAATATTAAAATTCCCCCAATAATTTTCCAATTTAATATTTAATAATTACCAAAAACTAAAGTAAATGAGAATCACAATAAATAATTTTTCATTATCAAAATTAATTTATAAAATCAATAATTTTCTGAAAATACCTGAAAATTTCTGGAAATTACTAAAATTTCTGAAACTTTAATTTTTTTAATTTTTCAAAAGAAATAATTTTCTGAAAATTTCAGGTAATAATTATCAATTTCAGATAATACTGTTATGTAATTAATTTCAAATATTAATAAATTAACAGTTATATATTAAACAATTTCAGTAAGTTTAGTAATTATTAATGTTTTGATCAATTATTGATTTGAATAATTTAATTTTGAAAAGTTATATATTTATGAATAATTATTTACTGAAAATATGAAAACAAAATTGATATTTTAGGTTTTGTAATAAAAATCATTTTCTGAAAATTACTGAAATTTTTAGGTAATAACAATCAATTTCATATAATAATAATAATAATAATAATAATAATAATAATAATAATAATAATAATAATAATAATAATAATAATAATAATAATAATAATAATAATAANTAATAATAATAATAATAATAATAATAATAATAATAATAATAATAATAATAATAATAATAATAATAATAATAATAATAATAATAATAATAATAATAATAGTAATAATAATAATTAATTTCATATAATATTGTAATATTGAAATATTTCGGTGAATCTTAGTAGTTGTTAATATTATCATTGATTATTAATTTCTAATTATTTTTTGATGTATACCAATAATTAAATCATATATGGATGAATTAATTTTATAAAAATTCTTCATTTATGAATAATTAATTAGTAAAAATATAAAAAAATTCCAGCAAATTGATAATTAAATTTGACGAAATTAAATCACAAAGAAGATGAAAATTTGTTTATATAAATCATTAAATCAAATTTCGCAGTGGTTACCAAAATTAAACATAAATTAACAATAATTATGGAAACTATTAATAATTACCAGAAGTAAATTATCAATATTAACTCTAATAATTTTCCAATTTAATAGGTACTGATGAAGGAAGATTTGGCCCGACCTCA